TGTCTTGACATAATGTGTGTTTGCCGTCCAACAAAGTGATTGTCTTGACACAATGTGTGTGTTTGCCGTCCAACAAAGTGTTTGTCCTGACATAATGTGTGTTTGCCGTCCAACAAAGTGATTGTCTTGACACAATGTGTGTGTTTGCCGTCCAACAAAGTGATTGTCCTGACACAATGTGTGTTTGCCGTCCAACAAAGTGATTGTCCTGACATAATGTGTGTTGGCCGTCCAACAAAGTGATTGTCTTGACACAATGTGTGTGTTTGCCGTCCAACAAAGTGATTGTCCTGACATAATGTGTGTTTGCCGTCCAACAAAGTGATTGTCTTGACATAATGTGTGTTGGCCGTCCAACAAAGTGATTGTCTTGACACAATGTGTGTGTTTGCCGTCCAACAAAGTGATTGTCCTGACACAATGTGTGTTTGCCGTCCAACAAAGTGATTGTCTTGACGCAATGTGTGTGTTTGCCGTCCAACAAAGTGATTGTCCTGACAAAAATGTATGTTTGCCTTGTTACAATGTATGTTTGCCCTGCTACAATGTGTGTTTGCGCTCCTTCTGTAAATGTGTGTCTCTCCTACAACATTGTATATTTGTCCTACTAAAATGTATGTATGCCTTTCTACAATGTATATTTGTCCTCCTACATGTATATTTGCCCTCCTCCTACAATGTATATTTGCCCTCCTACAATGTGTGTTTGCCTTCCTTCTGCAATGTATATTTGCCCTCCACCAACAATGTATATATTCCATCCTACAATGTGTGTTTGCCTTCCTTCTACAATGTATATTTGCCCTCACCATTTGTGTTTGCCCTCCTCCTACAATGTGTGTTTGCCCACCTCCTACAATGTGTGTTTGGCCTCCTCCTACAATGTGTGTTTGCCCTCCTCCTACAATGTATATTTGCCCTCCTAAAATTAGTGTTTGGCCTCCTACAATGTATATTTGCCCTCCTACAATGTGTGTTTGCCCTCCTACAATGTGTGTTTTCCCTCCTACAATGTATATTTGCCCTCCTACAATGTATATTTGCCCTCCTACAATGTATATTTGCCCTCCTACAATGTGTGTTTTCCCTCCTACAATGTATATTTGCCCTCCTACAATGTATATTTGCCCTCCTACAATGTATATTTCCCCTCCTACAGTGTATTTTGCCCGTCTGTGCACAATGTATGTCTGCCCTCCTACAGTGTATGTCTGACTTTCTACAATGTGTCTCTGGCATTCAACCTTGCATATTTGCTCGTCTGCAATGTGTTTGCCTTGCTACGATGTACAATGTACAGTATGTCAGCGTCTCCTCAGTCCCGGTTTTGTAAAGCTGAATTGCTCAAGTGCAGGAATCGTCTTCCTCCCGTGTCGGTAGACGGTGCTACTGGCAGAGTGAAATGATGGTAGGACGTGGATATCGGTTTGTTCGAAACTGGTTACTGCATCATAGTACACATGCATATATGATGTCTCTTTTTAGACGTCGTTGAAGATGAGCCTGAGTCGTGCGGTCTCTCTTGTGGATGCTTATGCTTCAGTGGCATTTCTCAATACATTGCATAATGTAGCACCTGTGGTTTTCCTTTCTGCGTCAAGAGCCCAAATTCCTTAAACCAACAGTGGTGATATAATTATGCTTCGTTCGTCATGCATTTATACCATATTTATACCATGGTTACTTTAATCTCTTTAAAATTAGTTTTACTTCTGTTAGGTCCGATCAGCGCATATACCCCATTACATACAATACATCTCCATTGTCATCCTTCTCAACTTAATAACAAGAAGTCATCCTTCTCACTTAATAACAAAGTCATCCTTCTCAGCTTCATAACATGGAGTCATTCTTCTCAGCTTAATAACAAAGTCATCCTTCTCACCTTAATAACACGAAGCCATCCATCTCAGCTCAAAAACAAAGTCATCCTTCTCAGCTTCATAACATGAAATCATTCTTCTCAGCTCAATAACATGAAGCCATCCTCCTCAGCCGAGTAACATGAAGTCATCCTTCTCAGCTCAATAACATGAAGTCATCCTTCTCAGCTCAATAACATGAATTCATCCTTCTCAGCTCAATAACATGAAGTCATCCTCAGCTCAACAACATGACGTCATCCTTCTCAGCTTAATAACATGAAGTCATCCTCCTCAGCTCAATAACATGACGTCATCCTTCTCAGCTCAATAACATGAATTCATCCTTCTCAGCTCAATAACATGAAGTCATCCTCAGCTCAACAACATGACGTCATCCTTCTCAGCTCAACAACATGACGTCTTCCTTCTCAGCTCAATAACATGACGTCATCCTTCTCAGCTCAATAACATGAAGTCATCCTTCTCAGCTCAATAACATGAAGTCATCCTCAGCTCAACAACATGACGTCATCCTTCTCAGCTCAATAACATGACGTCATCCTTCTCAGATCAATAACATGAAGTCATCCTTCTCAGCTCAATAACATGACGTCATCCTTCTCAGCTTAATAACTTGAAGTCATCCTCCTCAGCTCAATAACATGAAGTCATCCCTCTCAGCTCAATAACATGAAGTCATCATCCTCAGCTCAATAACATGAAGTCATCCTTCTCAGCTCAACAACATGACGTCATCCTCCTCAGCTCAATAACATGAATTCATCCTTCTCAGCTCAATAACATGAAGTCATCCTCAGCTCAACAACATGACGTCATCCTTCTCAGCTTAATAACATGAAGTCATCCTCCTCAGCTCAATAACATGACGTCATCCTTCTCAGCTCAATAACATGAAGTCATCCTTCTCAGCTCAATAACATGAAGTCATCCTCAGCTCAACAACATGACGTCATCCTCCTCAGCTCAATAACATGACGTCATCCTTCTCAGCTCAATAACTTGAAGTCATCCCTCGCAGCTCAATAACATGATGTCATCATCCTCAGCTCAATAACATGACGTCATCCTTCTCAGCTCAATAACATGAAGTCATCCATCTCAGCTCAATAACATGAAGCTATCCTTCTCAGCTCAGTAACATGAAGTCATCCTTCTCAGCTCAATAACATGAAGTCATCCTTCTCAGCTCAATAACATGAAGTCATCCTCAGCTCAACAACATGACGTCATCCTTCTCAGCTTAATAACATGAAGTCATCCTCCTCAGCTCAATAACATGACGCCATCCTTCTCAGCTCAATAACATAAAGTCACCATCCTCAGCTTGATAACATGAAAGATCCGCCTTAAGTTATAACATGAAGCCATCCAACTCAGCTTAATCTCTCTCTTGTTCCTTTCCATGTAATCCCTACATCTGCATTTCTGCTTCATCAGTGGGTAATCTGTCTTTGTTGTTATAAGTAGATGAAGTGACTACGTCAGACTGACAGTGATTTACCTCCAGGTTAACATCAGAATTGACATCTTCAGCATTGTGGTTGATAAACAAGTGGAAACATTGTTAAGCACCTCCCCTCCGGTGGTTTCATATATCCCCCAACTGCGATGTATCTTTCAGAAACATCTACATGTTATGTTGATCTCATTGTGAAAAATGTTTTCAATACCAGCTTATACCCTGTCTTGAAGCGAAGTAGAAACAAGGTGCGGTGAAGGTGTGGGGACTATTTATTGCAATGGAATAGTCGAAAACTTATCCTCAGATGAACAGTTTCTGCATCCCCAAAATACAAAAACAAAACCGAAAATAAAAAGAGGTAAAACATGGTAAAAGCACAAAAAGCAAACCCAACAAAAACGAGAAAAAGACCTAACACAAAACAAAATCTATACACCTGTGCCCCGTTTCACAAAGCTACCTTATTGCTACACCTGTCGTAACTCCTAGACTGGGCCTAGATTTTCGAAGTTCTCTTAGCGCTAAGATAGTCGTAAGTTAGTGTTAATGAATGGAACTTACGACTATCTTAGCGCTAAGAGAACTTCGAAAATCTAGGCCCAGTAGCATAGGCTTACGACAGTCGTAACCCTACGATAGCTTTGTGAAACGGGGCCCTGAGTCGCCAGACAATGCAGACAGGATATAATTTTTCATAAGTGTTATTTTTTAAGGAATATAAAGTGCTATTGAATTGTTTTTCAATGTACGTATACAACCTCCTTTGTCAAGTGGGTTGAGTGTCTGCTAGGGGAGTGGTAGGTCGGTGTTCGATCCCCTGCGGCGTCATGCCAGCAATAGTAGAAAGATTGTACTTTTATACCGTCAGACATAAACCAAAGTCAACCAAGTCGAAGCTTGTGAACTATTTCTGAGTGGTACATTCATGTTAAACTGTGACATCACAAAGGGCCAATACTGAAAATGGGACACGTTACCCGCCCGTCTTACACGTGCAAAAATACTGACATTGAACTCCACCGTAACGTCAGTTCTTCTCACCTTTTCTCGAGAAGACAAAGCATACACGATCCTTTTATATCAAAATAGTCTGCATGTATCATAGTCATGTGAAGGTCAACCGAATTCTATGGATAGTCAGCTTCTAGATTTTGTCTTCAGTAATCCACGCTTGTCGTAAGAGGCGACTAACGGGATCGGGTGGTCAGGCTCGCTGACTTGGTTGACACATGTCATCGTATCCCAGTTGCGTAGTTCGATGCTGATACTGTTGATCACTGGATCGTCTGGTCCAGTCTCGGTTATTTACAGACCGCCACCATATAGCTGGAATATTACCGAGTACGGCGTAAAACTAAACTCACTCTCTCGCTATTGCAATGAATGTGACACAATGAATGTGTGTGTAGCATATACGCCGAAACGTCGCACCCTTTGCACTAAAGAAGTTGACTATCAATAGAACCTGGTTTTCCTTGTCCTTTACAACTTCTAAAATGCCATAGTCATGTAGATTCGTCATGTTGTAATTCTATAAGTAGAGTATATTCGTTTGACGTGACCGCACAATGTACACTTCTTTTCTGAGTCCCTCAGCCCCTTTTCATTTAAGCCTTATTCAGTACACACACAACGGGGTCAAACGAGGGTCACGTAGCGAGCGACTGAACACCAGATATTTAGCCCACTCGGGTAGAAGGAGATGTCATATCATCGACACGGTGTTGAGACAAGGAGCTAGACGGAGTAGGTGATTTCACACGTCCTAGCTACAACAGAGGGAAGGTAGGTAGGATAGCCTTGTTTGATTCAACTTTACAATTGGACAAAAGTAAATGGTTATGTTTAAGGTGCGGATATCTTAGTGGTTTCGACCTTAAGTTTGCAATGTTTCGGCTGACTGTTTTAAGTCAAGTAATGTTTGATGGCGTTCCTAAGTTTTAGTTTTAATCCAATGTTTCGGCTGACTGTTTTCAGTCAAGTAATGTTTGATGACGTTTCTAAGTTTTAGTTTTAATCCAATGTTTCGGCTGACTGTTTTCAGTCAAGTAATGTTTGATGACGTCCTAAGTTTTAGTTTTAATCCAATGTTTCGGCTAATTGTTTTCAGTCAAGTAATGTTTGATGACGTTTCTAAGTTTTAGTTTTAATCCAATGTTTCGGCTGACTGTTTTCAGTCAAGTAATGTTTGATGACGTTCCTAAGTTTTAGTTTTAATCCAATGTTTCGGCTAATTGTTTTCAGTCAAGTAATGTTTGATGACGTTTCTAAGTTTTAGTTTTAATCCAATGTTTCGGCTGACTGTTTTCAGTCAAGTAATGTTTGATGACGTTTCTAAGTTTTAGTTTTAATCCAATGTTTCGGCTGACTGTTTTCAGTCAAGTAATGTTTGATGACGTTTCTAAGTTTTAGTTTTAATCCAATGTTTCGGCTGACTGTTTTCAGTCAAGTAATGTTTGATGACGTTTCTAAGTTTTAGTTTTAATCCAATGTTTCGGCTAATTGTTTTCAGTCAAGTAATGTTTGATGGCGTTTCTAAGTTTTAGTTTTAATCCAATGTTTCGGCTGACTGTTTTCAGTCAAGTAATGTTTGATGACGTTTCTAAGTTTTAGTTTTAATCCAATGTTTCGGCTGACTGTTTTCAGTCAAGTAATGTTTGATGACGTTTCTAAGTTTTAGTTTTAATCCAATGTTTCGGCTGACTGTTTTAAGCCAAGTAACGTTTGATAGCGTTTCTAAGTTTTAGTTTTAGTCCAATGTTTCGGCTGACTGTTTTCAGTCAAGTAACGTTTGATGGCGTTTCTACGTTTTGGGTTATATCCAATTTTCGTATGTTTCTTTTCTTTTGCCTGACAGTATATATTTTTAGTTGAAATATTAAGTTGTTATCTGCGGTGTCATTCCTTTCGACATTGTTAGATGTTGAGGCTTCTTCCATCGATAAGTCGTTTTGTACGAGCCATTTCAGGACACGGGCTAATTGTTGAAGTGGATATATTTCTTTTATTATTTTTCGCATAGTTGTCAAACGAATCTGATGAATGAGAACAGCCATTACAAATGGTAGGCGATTTACTCGCAGTATAGAGTCCACACGAAGAACATTTTGTCCACACGAAAAACAGATGAAGTAACACATAAAGTAACTGTTACAGTAGCATATTATGTAGCAGATGAAGTAACACATAAAATAACTGTTACAGTAGCATATTATGTAACAGATGAAGTAACATAAAATAACTGTTACAGTAGCATATTATGTAAGAGATGAAGTAACATATAAAGTAACTGTTACAGTAGCATATTATGTAACAGATGAAGTAACATATAAAATAACTGTTACAGTAGCATATTATGTAGCAGATGAAGTAACATATAAAGTAACTGTTACAATAGCATATTATGTAAGAGATGAAGTAACATATAAAATAACTGTTACAGTAGCATATTATGTAAGAGATGAAGTAACACATAAAATAACTGTTACAGTAGCATATTATGTAAGAGATGAAGTAACATATAAAATAACTGTTACAGTAGCATATTATGTAGCAGATGAAGTAACACATAAAGTAACTGTTACAGTAGCATATTATGTAGCAGATGAAGTAACATAAAATAACTGTTATAGTAGCATATTATGTAAGAGATGAAGTAACATATAAAGTAACTGTTACAATAGCATATTATGTAGCAGATGAAGTAACACATAAAATAACTGTTACAGTAACATATTATGTAACAGATGAAGTAACACATAAAGTAACTGTTACAATAGCATATTATGTAGCAGATGAAGTAACACATAAAATAACTGTTTTAGTAGCATATTATGTAGCAGATGAAGTAACACATAAAATAACTGTTACAGTAGCATATTATGTAGCAGATGAAGTAACATAAAATAACTGTTATAGTAGCATATTATGTAAGAGATGAAGTAACATATAAAGTAACTGTTACAATAGCATATTATGTAGCAGATGAAGTAACACATAAAATAACTGTTACAGTAACATATTATGTAACAGATGAAGTAACACATAAAGTAACTGTTACAATAGCATATTATGTAGCAGATGAAGTAACACATAAAATAACTGTTATAGTAACATATTATGTAACAGATGAAGTAACACATAAAGTAACTGTTACAGTAGCATATTATGTAACAGATGAAGTAACACATAAAGTACGGTTAAAGTAACCTATAAAGTAACTATTACAGGAGCATATTAAGTAACAGATATAATAACAGATAAGGTAACAGATGAAGTAACAGTAACGGAGTTACGTAATTTGTGTAACAGATTAAACCTGTTCCCAAAGGTTTCTTTGCTCATTGTACAACTAAAGTAACATTGGCATTGCTAGAGGTTTCATTACACGACTGTAGATTTATTCCATCTCTGAAGATTTATTCTTCCTCGGGGCAATTCTCAACAGATTCATTTCACTTTACATCATTACCCCAACCTCACAGATTGTACAAGGCTCGCCATTAAACCTTAGGGCTAAACCCGGCTTTTGATATGCTCAAGCGCATTTGCAGATGATGTAGTCATCTGGAAGAATTTGTTTTGTAATAAAACCGCCATCAAACCACTAACCTGTGGTCAGCAGGCATTCCGGAGTTCCTCATCCATGACCGGGCTTGACACAAAAGCTTCATATAGAAGCGAATAGATATACACTCGTGATTCAAGGTGGCTATAGAATAAACTATAAGAAAACCCCACCCACCCCAGGCCGAAGACCCGGGTCAATTCCCACATGGGTACAATGTGTGAAGTCAATTTCTGATGTTCCCCGCCGTGATGTTGCTGGAATATTGCTAAAAGTGGCGTAAAACCAAACTCACTCACTTACTCATATCGTTCCTGATGTGGGTTATTGTAATTACAGTAACATATGGTTATTGTTACTCGATTACATTATACACTAGACGCCAAAAGAAACGTTACCCTCCTACCTTTATACATTCCTTAAAAACTATCAAAGATATGGTAGAAGGTAGTTCATAAGAAAGCTTAACAACACAGCTTTATGCAAATCACGAAAATAAATTCTCAAATGCATTCATATTTAGGTGAAATGCATCTTTTTCAGAAGAATTAAATTGTCCCATTTTCGTCCATGCCGAAATAAACCAATAACAGAAATTTGGATGTCCAAAAGAAAGGTTGAAATAAAATTCTGCTTTGGGACAAAGATAAACCATTTAAAGTCACCATTTTTCAACTATTAAAACAAGAAACAACTGTTGTAGAATGTGTAAAATTGTAAAATAATCATTCCTATGATTTCAGTTTCTTAAAACATTTCCTGCAGATTTGCATTAGTGAAAACAAGTAAAACGTGTCTTTGATATTGTGAAATTTTTTTTAGGAACTTTTTCAATGACCTTTGTTAACATTGTTGCTTGCAAAGTAACATTTTTCCATTTTCTGTTTACACATAGCAATATCATATACCAAAACGCAGCAATATTCAAGCAGTATTTGCATCCATTTCACATGTAGAATGATTCTATAGGGTATGAAGAGAGAGAAAGTAATTAAGTACGAGAAAAATGCCACGATTAACAGCTGAAGAGAGAGAGAAAAAGCCACTGTAATGGTGCAGATGGGCTCGACATACAATGCTGTTGCCAACGCCCTCAGATGCCACCGTATCACGGTTATAAAACTTATTCAGGGCTTTAGACTGGAGTCACCGTAGACAGACCAAGAAGTGGACGTCCACGCATCACAACGCCAATTGAAGATAGGTACCTCCGTCATTAAGGAAGGAGGGTAACGCTTCATTTGGCGTTTAGTGTACATGGATGAGGGTGAATGGATTAAATTGAAGCCAAAATATGAAGTATTCCTCAACAGATAACATTATTCAGGACCTAGCGCGTCAATAGGTAACGCTTTTCATCTAACCGTCATGGTGTGACGCGTATCCAAACCATTAGTGTATGGTGAGGCGTACAGCCTTTGTGCGTGTTGGTACACACGGTGTACAGATGTCAAGTCTGCCGACAGACACAGCGCCTATATTAACCATGGTACTATATTTCCATTCCAGTATGGCAAATGTTCAGGATCCTGTTTGCAACCGTGGCTTCGTTTGGTATTCAGACCCTAAACACATGCATCCAACAAAACCCATGACAAATAGGGCAAGGGTATTCATGAAAGGCATACGATTAATGCAGGCCCATGCTGTATTATTGTGTATTGAGGAGTCTGAGGACATAGGTTGAAGTTTTCAGCTTTTACGTTTAAACATTTAAAAGTCCATGAGGTTCAGCTTGAGCCTTGTAACCTGTGAAAATCTGGGTTAGAATTGGTGATCAGGAACCCTTGCTTTTCGTACAAGGCGACCGCCTCTGTGGTGTAGTGGTTTGAGCGTCCGCCCGGAGAGCGGAAGGTCGTGGGTCCGATCCCCGGCCGCGTCAAACCAAACGACGTTTAAATATGATACTTGTTGGTCCCTGCCTGGCGCATAAATGGGTACAACAAGGACTGGTCGGCTCGGAGTCAGTATAATGTGTGGGGTATTCATGCTTAACTGCGACATGGTATCTCAGTGAGCTAGCACTATAAAACCAGCTGAAGTCTAGGCTAGTACAAGCAGCCACTCATACATACACACACATGCCCGTCGTCATATGAGCGAAATATTCTCAAGTACGACGTTAAACCCCCATTTCACCTCGCCTTCGTAAAAGGCAGTCTTGGTTGATCAAATGTCATCGTTTACCAATTGGGTAGATCGATGCTCATGATGTTGATAAACCCGAGGTTTTTCTGGCGCAGGATGCATTGCCCAAACACCAGAATGATACAGCTGGGCTGCGGCGTAAAACAAAACAAAAATCAAAAAGCTAATCCGGGAAATGTCACGGCGGGGGAACCAGGAATGGGGTTCACACATTATACCCATATGGGGAATCGAACCAGGGTCTTCGGCATGACGTTTTAACAGCTGGGCACCCACCGCCCTATGTCAACACATGAACCTCCGAGCTGTTGGGTCGCGTTTTGACTAGTTTTTTTTATTAAATACACTAAACATAGGACAATAATCCACTGTTTATGTCGGTAATTCTAACACAATTAAAGGAACGGCGGGGTAGCCTGGTTGTTTCAGATCTCGTTCGTCACGTTTAAGATCTGAGTTCGATTCCCACATGGGTCATGTGACGCCAACTTCGGGAGGCTTTGGTCTTGACATCACCCTGAGAGTGGACGGTCGGCTGTTCGATCTCTTGAGTGCGTAACACCAAAATACATTAGAGGGTACCTGTCACAATACCTGACGCTCGGCTTAAAAGGGGATAAAAGACCTACTGTATCTCAGTCTGGCATCCGTCTTAACGTCAGTGAGTACGTTTTTTCAGCTATTATACGACAGGGAACGCCAGAAATGGGCTTCACACATTTAACCCTATTCTGTCTCACAGTCCTTGAACCACATTATTTTCCCTACTCCCAAGCCCTCTCTGCAATGCTAAAGCCCTAAATGAAGCAAGTCTAGATTTCCTCAGGTTCTGAATCTCTGGTGTCTGGCTAATTTATAATTTAAATGGGTTTATTTCTTACAATCAAAATGATATATTCAGAGATTAAGCTTTAGTCTAATGTTACCCATGTGGAAAATCGAACCGGGCCCTTGGCTTGGCGAGTTCTTTACAGACGTCTTAGTAGGTTAGCACTATAACTCCCGTTGAGCAGCTGAGAAAACGAAAGTGCGCATTTGAATTAAAATTTATTTGACAAAAAAAAATCATCGAATCAAAACTATACTAGGCAGAAAACATAAACAAAAAGTTTATACTCTTTTCGGTCAGACAGTTCAGTAAAAACAGACCCCCAGTCCCCACCCCAGTCCCCCTGTACAATAGTCCCCCAACTGGAACGAGACGTTAAACCACTTTCAACTTCACCTCTTGTGGCCCTTTCGTCAGTCAGTGTAGCTTCTGAGGATAATCTGTGCCAGTAATATCCAGCACGTCCACACGATTAAGAGTACTCATTGTCAAGGTGAACGTGAGTGGTCACCAGACCTAGAGCAGCCCAAAAGGCCAGACGTGTCTATGCGAACATGTGACACCAACATGATCCATTGTGTTACAGATTTGTATGGTACTCATTTCAGTGTGTCTCCGGGCTTGAATGCAATATTCTTTGTTAACTGTAGTTTGTGTTGGTATTCAAAAAATGCCTAACGCGTAAGCAGGCTTTCTCTGATTGTTTGTATGTTTGTAAGCACCATGTATGCTCCTTGATTTCAAAAGTGGTAAACGCCCAGGACAGACGTTACATCGGGTTTTTCTCCCATATGAAGCTGACGGGCCGGGATATAACTTGAATATTTTTCAGGGAATTGTGTCATTTTCCCGCTCTGAATCCTTTCGCATCAATAGCCTTATTTTGGGCCCGATTCCAATAACATGGCACCCCAGGCAGTGCCCAAATTATGAGTGAGTGAGTTTAGTTTTACGCTGCTTTTAGCAATATTCCAGTAATATTACGGCGGGGACACCAGAAATGGGCTTCACACATTGTACTCATGTGGGGAATCGAACCCGGGTCTTCTGCGTGACGAGCGAACGCTTTAACCCCAAGGCTTCCCAACCACCTCCAAGAAATACTTTGTGCTATGACAGTGACAATGAGAGATTGTGACGCTCCTTCCGAAACGAGTGAGTGAGTGAGTGAGTTTGGTTTTACGCCCCTTTTAGCAATATTCAAGCACCATAACGGTGGAGGACACCAGAAATGGGCTTTACACATTGTACCCATGTGGGGAATCGAACCCGGGTCTTCAACGTGACGAGCGAACGCTTTCACTGCTAGGCTACCCCACCGCCCTACTTCCGGAACGAATCTCTGGTGGCGAATGGATCCAGGTTTTGCATTAGATTAGAATGAAGAGACGACATATTCCCGTGGTGATAATCCTTTCAATCAAATCATGTCTTCACAATGTCTATCTATTCTATTTTTCAGAATGGACGGAAGTAAGGCCGGAAGTCTCCAAAGCGTCACCGGAAGTAAACATGTTCTGTATCCAGAATCTATCACGTAAGTGAGTGAGTGAGTTTAGTTTTACGCTGCACTCAGCAATATTCCAGCTATATGGCTGCGGTCTGTAAATAATCGAGTCTGGACCAGACAATCCAGTGATCAATATCATGAACATCGATCTGCGCAATTGGGAACCGATGACATGTGTCAACCAAGTAAGCGAGCCTGACCACATGATCCCGATAGTCGCCTCTTACGACAAGCATAGTCGTCTTTTGTAAGCATGGGTTGCTGAAGACCAATTCTACCCTGGATCTTCACGGGTCTATCACGTAAGAACGACAATGCAATGCTAGTCCTTACAAAAGGACCAAAAACAGCACGGGTAAGAGAGCGTGAACGAGTCTAGTTTTACGCCGCTTTGAACAATATTCCAGTAATACCACGGCGGAGGAGGCCAGAAATGGGCTTCATATATTGTATCAATGTGGGGAATCGAACTCGGATATGAATTACAATATCTTCGGCGTAACGAACTCAAAAGGACTACCAATTTTAGTTCGTTATGAATGTAGTTTGTTAGACGCATTGCGACTAAAACATAAAGAAAGTGGGCTCCCCCAACCCCTCGTTCGTTATATCCGTCACTTCGTTACAAGCGAAGGGTATTCGTCATAACCGTGGTTCTAGTGGTTGAACCAAGATTAATGGACATACACAAGACACATACAATGGACATAGTAAACAAAACAGTTTCTGATGTCTGCTGATGAAACGCATCATGACAAATTGAAAATGACCTGTGTTAAATATAGACGCCTCAGGTCTTGGCTCGTGATGTGAATACATCTCTGTATTCAACCCCGCGGAGCAAGGGAATGTTTTAACATGGCACCAATATATAACGGCAGTTTGAAATGTGAGTCTTAAAGGGAGACAACCATCGATTGCCTGGAGCCAGTTCTCCAACCACATACAGACGTTGTACATAATGGTTCCGCCATATGGGAACTGGAACAATATATCCTTGGTTAATATGCATAATCTTTGTCAGTACGATTAATTTACATAAAAACAGTTGTGTCAGCAGATTTACCAAAACGTTCAAATGGCCAGGGCTCCCAATTTCCACTGTTTCATATAACATATCGGCCAATTTGAGAGAAAATCTTTTTCGTGGTTAATTAAATCATTTTGAGATATAGTAACATCTTTAATACTGTCAGATTGTACATGTGAAGTGTGATAGGCACCTGAACTAGTGAAACTAGCAACACTACTTGGGGCATCCTTCAAGGGTGCTGTTGAACAAAACCGTTACAAAACTTAGCGCTACGAAAGTCGTAAGTCTATGTTAAGGTATGGGAGTTACGGTCATTTCAGCGCTACGACAGTAGTAAGTCTATGTTAAGGTATGAGAGTTACGGTCATTTCAGCGCTACGGCAGTAGTAAGTCTATGTTAAGGTATGGGAGTTACGGTCATTTCAGCGCTACGACAGTAGTAAGTCTATGTTAAGGTATGAGAGTTACGGTCATTTCAGCGCTACGGCAGTAGTAAGTCTATGTTAAGGTATGGGAGTTACGGTCATTTCAGCGCTACGACAAGTCTATGTTAAGGTATGGGAGTCATATGTTAAGGTATGTTAAGGAGTTACGGTCATTTCAGCGCTACGACAGTAGTAAGTCTATGTTAAGGTATGGGAGTTACGGTCATTTCAGCGCTACGACAGTAGTAAGTCTATGTTAAGGTATGGGAGTTACGGTCATTTCAGCGCTACGACAGTAGTAAGTCTATGTTAAGGTATGGGAGTTACGGTCATTTCAGCGCTACGACAGTAGTAAGTCTATGTTAAGGTATGGGAGTTACGGTCATTTCAGCGCTACGACAGTAGTAAGTCTATGTTAAGGTATGGGAGTTACGGTCATTTCAGCGCTACGACAGTAGTAAGTCTATGTTAAGGTATGGGAGTTACGGTCATTTCAGCGCTACGACAGTAGTAAGTCTATGTTAAGGGGTATGGGAGTTACGGTCATTTCAGCGCTACGACAGTAGTAAGTCTATGTTAAGGTATGGGAGTTACGGTCATTTCAGCGCTACGACAGTAGTAAGTCTATGTTAAGGTATGGGAGTTACGGTCATTTCAGCGCTACGACAGTAGTAAGTCTATGTTAAGGTATGGGAGTTACGGTCACCTTAGCGCTACGACAGTCGTAAGTCCATGTTAAAGTATGGGAATTACGGTCACCTTAACCCTAAGATCGCTTTGTTCAACGGCACCCAATTATGTTCGAGGTATCCTCTGGGATTAAGGTGAGCAAGGAATCCGATACCCGAAAGTCTAGCATAAACACTTATCACAAAGTGTGTCAATAGGAGCACACTGGCACCTGAGAAGGTGACTGTTTGAAGAGTATCAGGACATTCTTACATTCTCAAATATGAAGGACACATACTATAGCTAGCTGGTCAGTTTAGCTGGCCGCTATCTTTGATACCATTTAATTATAATCTAATATTTAAATGTACATACCCTTCTCACACTTTATAAAAAAGTAAGAAACAGACTGAAATAATGTTCTGCCAGTATGACATTAAAATATCAGGGTTGCATTTTTGCAAGCAAGGTTATTGGAATATAATCTTTCAACAGGATACTGTGTACACTGATGAACGGAGCGGTGGGTTAAAATCGTTCGCTCGTCACGCCGAAGACCCGGGTTCGATTCCCCACATGGGTGCAATGTGTGAAGCCCATTTCTGGTGTCCCCTACCTTGATATTGCTGGAATATTGCTAAAAGGGGCGTAAAACTAAACTCACTCACTCACTCGTTTCGGAAGGAGCGTCACAATCTCTCATTGTCACTGTCATAGCACAAAGTATCTCTTTGGGGAGGTTGGGAAGCCTCGGGCATTAGTACGGGCTGGACGAAAGGACAAAATGTCATTGTCCAGGGACAGTGAGAGAGAGACTTGGTATACGTACCGCGGACTGACGTCAACGACAGTTATCTATATAGACAGGCACGCGAAGGCCTCTATGATACCGTCGTTCATAACCATGGGCTTCACTGCTCTGTGTTAGATGGGAATGGCACGGGACGGTGTTTGTATACAATACCATATCCTGTGTGGACATATCATTGTGTTTGTGCCAGGAACACGTGGATCCGGCTATGGATGAACAACCATACAGGAAGCTGGAATGTCATTAAGTATGTGAAGAAAACACATCAAAGTTAATGGTACAAAAGGCTCATGGAGGTACGGGAAAGTCTAATTAAGATGAGAATAAATAATAAAACAACAACCTCCCGACTCATGATACTCCAACGGAGTATGTTTAAACTAAAATCATATATACTGAGGGAAACAAATAAGGTAACACCACTTAATTTCAGTGGTCCTTTATTCATTCTCAGATTTCCTCCAACAGCGGTATTCAAAGCCGGTGATGGAAACTGGAAAATATTACAGGAACACTTGTATTTCCCTGCGTTCCTTTAGTTGTTTCTCTCAGTATACATGCCCACGTGTTATCTGTCTGTCTTTGCTGTGAGCACAATTCCCACTCACACACAACACACACTTAGACGGATGGGAATAGAGTACACTGCGCTGATTGCGGTACGCATATTTTCTGAATGACAACTCCGAGGTCTATTGTATGGTTCAGTGAGCTAATGGTTACATTTGGTTCGTGTTGCGCATAATTGTTAGGAATTGAAATTGACTTAAAAATGTCCTTGATGTGGTATAGAACGAGTTAAGTAGCGCCATTTGGAATAGGTTGTAAACACCGGGGTATGTATAATATATTTTAACAATGACATTAAGGATTGGTGTCTGGCTAATGCGATGATGTACATTGTGGCGTGACAGCAGGAAGCCTTCTCACTTGCGACTAGAAGACATGACCATAATTAGAAAACGCACCCTGAATGGCTGATGATCTCGCATGAGATCTTTAAAATTTCTTCAATAATATATTTGAGAGAGCGCCTTTCAACAAGAATATATTATCAGCTTAACATATTTATTTCGACTTTTTCTATCTTCAAATTAACATCCAGTTGTTGTTTTTTCTTTTACGTATTCTGGTAACGACAAGATTTAGTTGGCATGGAGACGGATGACGTCATTCGTGGTGTTATGCACAGGGGCGTGTCATGCTTAGAAACAGCGTTAGAAAGACATATAGGTATATAGACCCTACCCTAGTACTATATAAAAGGAAATAGTACTAGGGTAGGGTCTATATACCTATATGTCTTTCTAACGCTGTTTCTAAGCGTGACACACCCCTGTGGTGTTATGTCTATCTTACAACTGTTTGAGAACAAGGAGTAAGAGCGTACTATAAGAAAAAGGTTGAGTGAGTAATCTATGGTTTTACGCCGCTTTGTTTATCAGCACCAAACTGGGATTCGACACACTGAATTCTTTAACGCTTGCCTACACAGCATTTCGGCTTCAGAACACCGTGTCGCCTTCATAAGGGACTGTGGCAATGATTTCGGTTTAACGCTGGTTTAAACAGTATTTCAATTACATCAGGACGCGCCAACTTATTCTGGGAAGATCTTAAGCGTATATTTTTCACGTGAAATGCACGAGCACTGACAAACTTGGAAACATTGTCAAAGCACCAAATGGTAAACAAGATGGAGTAAGTGAGTGAGTATGGTTTTACACCGTTTTAGCAATATTCCAGCAATATCACGGCAGGGGACATCAGAAATGGGTTTCACACATTGTACCCATGTGGGGAATCGATCTCGGATCTTGGGCGTGACGAGCGAACGCTTTAACCTCTACCCCAACGCCCCAAACAAGATAGAGGCTACCTTAACTTAATTCATTTGTTTATTCAATAGATTTGACAAAGGGAGTTGGTGGAGTCGGCGGTCGAGCCTGGAGAAGAAGATGGTGGCTCTGATCGTGCTGTGCTTCCTCGCTGCCGTTATCCTCCTCGTCGTGGTCGTCGTGCTAGCTGTCGAGCGGAACAATGCTGCCACTGACGAAGACGCACACGTAATGCCGATGACGTCTCCAGCGCCTGAACCAGGTAAACTAAATCTTCGAGGCTAAAATAAATACGTTTCTCATTCACTAGCGGGGCGGTGGGGTAGCCTTGTGGTTAAAGCGTTCGCTTGTCACGCCGAAGACCCGGGTTCGATTCCCCACATGGTACAATGTGTGAAGCCCATTTCTGGTGTCATCCGCCGTGATATTGCTGGAATTTTGCTACAATCGGCGTAAAACCAAACTCACTCACTCACTCTTATTATATAACAATACATTTCATTCCAGATAGATTCATATGCCGTTGCCATGACTCAAATTACAGATAGAAGGGTATATTTTTATCTTGACAGTTTTCGGGGGGAACAACCCAAAATGTATTATGAAATGGAAATGTCTCCAATTGCACTAAATCGTAGAAAACATTCATTACACACACCTTCCTTGACTATCAACTTGCCTCAATCCAGTATGCTTGTCGTAAGAGGCGACCAACGAGATCGGGTGATCAGGCTCACTGTCTTGGTTGAAACATGTCATCGCATCCCAATTGAGTAGATCGATTTTCATGCTGTTGATCACTCGATGGTCTGGCCCAGACTCGATTATTTACAGACTGCTGGAATATTGCTGAATGTGGCTTTAAACAACAAGCGAACTAACTATCAAGTATGAGTTGTGCCCAATGGATCAACTCTGTCATGTAAGTCCTGAGGGCAAATGTGTTGATTAAGATACTCAACTGACTGACTGACTGACTGACTGAGTTTAGTTTGACGCCGCTTTTAGCAATATTCCAGCAATATCACGGCGGGGGGACACCAGAAATGGGCTTAACACATTGTGCCCATGTGGGGAATCGAACCCGGGTCTTCGGCGTGACGAGCGAACGCTTTAACCACTTGGCTACCCCACCGCCCCTAAGATACTCAACAGTGCTAGACACATCTATAACGTTACAGTATATTAATTTCACGACGCGATGATAGTTAGGGGTAGGGGTGGGTATTGCAGAGAATGTTCATATTGCGATATATTGCGATGCGAAAACATGTATTGCGATATGTATAATTACAATATATTGTAAGAAGTTTATTTAAGCAAAAACCCCTTAATAATCGAGTTAATGCTTGATTTATAAAGCATGAACACAACAACATCACTATGCTTGATTAAGCTTTAATAAAAACTTTTAAACCTGACAAAATAAAAATGTAAATAATATTGGCACAAATGAAACAAGGAAATATCCGAAGACTTCCGAGTGTTACGAAGTTTTCCCCGAATGCAAGTCAAAATACCGGTTTTCGATCAGAGTATTGCAATACGTATCGTTTTCATGTCTGAACCGGTAAATACCGGTAAACCGGTTATATTGCGTAGCCCTAGTTAGGGCTGAAAAATAGAAATGTTTCTTGACCAGCTTGTCTCTATGTGGCTGAAGTAAAGCGACGTTAAATGTTAACTTTGTATCTTATATGTCAGTCAACTCAAGCTTTTACACATTTCAGAAGCAGATTCTGTTGTCCAAAATTAGACACAAACGAGGTTGACGCTGTGTTAAACAGCCGAGTTGTGTTTATTCTTATTCTGGGTGGTGGAGGTACATAGGTTTTTGTCCTCATTCCTTTTGTTTTCGATATCAATTATAACGAAATTCTATCTATATTCTTCCTAACACCTCAGAGGTGACTAACGGGACCGGGTGGCCAGGCTGGCTGACTTGGTTGAACCATGTCATCGCATCACAGTTGCGTAGATCGTGTTCATTCTGTTGACCACTGGATTGTCTGGTTCAGACTGGATTATTTACAGACCGCCACCATATAGGTGGAATATTGCTGAGTGTGGCGTTAAACAACAAACAAACAAACAAACAAACCTAACACTTGAGAAAAATGTGTCCAAGAAACATGATTTTATATGTAACGTTATGTTACTGAACACTGGCGCGTCTAGGTTTAAGTGTTTCATTCTTGGGTGTGGTGGAGAAATAACTGTCACAGCTTAGAATACGCTGTAATAAAACACTTTACTTTTGTAATCAGATATATGCTGTACACCACCCCGTTCATGTAAAATTAATGTACTCTCTGAATCAAGGACATTGCGTCCCTATGATTCTCTCCGTCTCCTTCAGATGGCATAACGATTATATTCAAATTTCAGTGTCCTTATAAATACTAATGTCTCAAATTCAAAATACAAATAATCATTTGAATATATTTTTTTCGAAATGTGCAGCAATATGTAAATAACGATACGCTTGAGATATAATTTATTCAGAAGCGCGCCCCCCCTCTGTGAAGACAGTGAATTACATTTTGTTGAACAAACAGTATGTTCTTTCTCGCACGTAAACTTCAATAAACGCAAGACCAGATTGAAACTGAAGTCATTTTTTAACCACATTTTATGTGAATATTAAAAGCTGCATTAAGAATTCTATATGAACCACGAAAATGAGCGACAAAGTTCCTTCCATTATTACAGCAAATCTCGAATAAAGACAGACAAAACACCAGTTCTTAACATCATGTACTAAAATTGTGATCGCAACATTGATACGCAACAAGAAACGTATCCAAATGCAAATTTGCAATTATGATATGTATCTCTGGGGCAAATTCAGACGTTTACAGCCCCAGTGTCGTAGAGGTATAACAGATGCTGGTTCATTTCTTTTCACATAACTGATCCGAGTCTGATCACATGGCGACTTTAAAAGCCTTGCACTTATGACATGATTGATGTTTTAGCATCCTCAAACAAAACGTTTGATAGTCACCACAGGCCCTCACTGAGCATTCGTGTAATCTATACCCATATTCCGTACCCGTATAACCGCCGATAAAAGTGTACTTAACTGAGACATAGGACGTGCATAATATTATCACGTCGGGTCTCATAAGGGTTTGGGTTTTATAGTCGCCCGCAGCGCCGAAACGGTCGGTATATTGCCTGCATTTGATTATGCAATGGTAATATACGTACGGACTGAAGACACCTTTTCAGTGCTATCGCGGAGTACAGATGGTAATCATGACTAAACCCTAGGTTGCTATTTGACCTTGCGACTTGAGACATCAGCGACGTGCCGTCGTTTTGAACGTTTTCTTTCAGTAAAAACGCTTGAGATGTCACGCCTATAACTTCGTTTCCAAGCATGGGAATAGTATGTGAAGCTCATTTTCTTATTTGCCCCAGGCGCATATTGTTCTTAGGCGCGTAAAAACTCACTATCCTTGAGTGAGTGAGTATGGTTTTACGCCGCTGTTAGCAAGATTCCAGCAACATCACGGCGAGGAACACAAGAAATGGGCTTCACACATTTTACCCATGTAGGGAATCGAACCCGGCGTGACTGGCCAACGCTTTAACCGCTAGGTTACCCCACCGCCCCAGCCTCGAGTGAACAGGCAGTCTCTGTAATTTTGATAAATGTTGTTCAATTACACTTTGGGCGTCTTTAAGTTCAAACTTTATGATGGTTAATGATTGCCCTTATCATACACGGGGCTGTCTTAGCTTGACACAAGGTGTTTATTTTGTTGTCTACACTTTGTCCAAAATTTGGCACCAGATCGTTGACCAGCCGGATTTATTGTTTCCTTTAAGAGTTAAACGGTACACGTTTACCAGATAAGAGGCACCAACCCGTCATCACGGGATTGGTGCTGACAATCCAAATATCGGAATCAGGGTTTGTATGCGATTACATGACATTACCTAAGGGACATAACTCTGAAGAGGTGAGGTGAGGTGAAATTGGGTTTAACGTCGTGCTTGAGAATATTTCGCTCATATGACGACGTGCATGCATGTGTATGTGTATGTGTATGTGTATGTGTATGTGCGGCTGCTTGTACTAGCCCAGACTGAAGCTGGTTTTATAGTGCTAGCCCACTGAGATACCATGCCGCAGTGAAGCATGAATACCCCACTCAGACACATTATACTGACTCCGAGCTGTCCAGTCCTTGTTGTACCTATTAATGCCGAGCGCCAGGCGGGGACCAGCAAGTACCATAGTTTAACGTCTTTTGGTATGACGCCGTCGGGGATCGAACCCGCGACCTTCCGCTCTCCGGGCGGACGCTCTAACCACTACACCACTGAGGCGGTCCATATAACTCTGAAGACCTCTGAGAATGTTTTCGCAATCTGTTTGGTGTGTGAAATCAGTTCTGCTTGAAGCTTAAGAACGTAAATATCACCGGAGTAACGTAGGTGTAGCAGAATAGCTGGTATCATGGAAATGTGGCAGCTCTGCTACTCAGGAGAAAAATGAAATCTTTGAATATGTATAGACTCTGTATTCTTGTGTGACTTTGTTTTAATGGGGTGGTGAGGTAGCGTTGTGGTCACGCCGAAGACCCGGGTTCGATTCCCAACGTGGGTACAATGTGCCAAGCCCATCTCTGGTGTCCCTTCGCCGTGATATTGCTTGAATATTGCTAAAAACGGCGTACAACTAAGCTCGCTGTATTAAAATACATACTATGAATATAAAAAGAAATACAAATCATACTATGGAGACTACGTGTCCCATTACTATACAGAGTGGGTGAGTGAGTTTTGGTTTTACGCCGCTTTAAGCAATATTCCAACAATATCGCGGCGGGGGGCACCAGAATTGGTCTTCACACATTGTGCCCATGTTGGGAATCGAACCCGGGTCTTCTGCGTGGCGAGCGAACGCTTTAACCACTAGGCTACCTCACCGCCCCTCATTACTATACAGATATATTAAGATATACAGAATAGAGGCGATGTCCACTTTGCCCCTCAAACGACCCAGGACCGAAGAACCTTTCTAAATATTAATAGCTTTGAAATGAACAATAGTGTTGATAAAAAAATTACATATCCTTTTAACATCACACCACAATTTCAAAATCACTACATCAAAAACAGTACATTACGACATTCAGGGTTAATGATTTGTATTTTTTATGTCGCATTTGCGCACATTCGAGCATTAGATCAATGCCCGTCACACATAGTGTTCCCGTGAGGTAATTTCTCTGGGAAATTAGAATGAAGCGTTAAGCTATGTCATCGACCATACGACACTGAGAAATGAAAGTTAAAAATTTATAACCTTTTTGTTTCAGCTGTTTGCCTTACACCTGAATGTGTTGCCACAGGTAAGCAAGTCACCAATTTCATCGAAGTATATTAATTAATCTTAGATAATAGTGACTTTATTTAACATCATGACTCACGGAGATGGGAATGTGTATTGAAATGTTATGAATAGGAACCAATCAAATTTGATATATTGAAATCATTGCTATTAAATTTGAAATGGGTGGAATGTTGCTTATGTCTATAAATTCATAGCTGATTCTAACCGCTTCAATAAGTGCTTGGTACCATAAGTAATATGTTCATTAAGTAGTACATCTTATTTGTTAACACTTGTAAGCTAGTCTGTCGTACAGACCCTGAAGCAAATATATCCAAGAAAGCCCACGCAAGTCTAGAAAATGTGGCAAGTCTAGATTTCCTCAGCTTCTGAAAATGAAGAAAGTCTCAGGGCTCCTTTTCATTATATTTTTTTTTTACTATGAACTTTTTTCAGTAAAATATGTTCATTTCAGAGACTAGTTGTTAGTGTAACTTGTAAGCATGCAACACTTCTAACGTTATATTCCATCAGAATTCCAACCTAGAAATGCAGCAGTCTATTTCCTTTTATATGTAATATCAATGTTCAAACCTTGTACATATAGCTTCTTTGGAAATAACATATTGTTTAAATCAATTGGTTTGAAAAGAAGTACAAACATATGTAAATATGAATGGAAGGTTTAGCCTGGTGAGTCACGCAGATTGGAATGTCAGTTACTGAAATTGAAAATATTCACCCAAACGCAACCGTCCACGTTAAAGTGGGGTCGAAAGTTGGTCATCTCGCCTCAAAGTTGTGTTTTGGCGCTACACTCCAGCGGATCGCAATTTTTTCAATCTAAGATATACTACCCATCAACAGCTTAAACTCACTAGTGAAAATTAAGTAAAAATAAAGGTTAATGGTACCTGCGGCAAAGATTAATTATTTACAAAACCCTGCAAGATATCATTACACAGCCAACTTACATGAATTCGATATGGGTCATGCTTCCACAAAACAAGGTCATTTCCGATTTCCGTAATTCTGCAACAAACATAACTCTCTGAGATTGGAATGTGTATTGAATTTCAACTGAGTATTTCTCTACTCCAGCAGGTAAAGGGTTAACAGAATGTATGAAATACAGCTCACCTTTTCTAGCTCATTGTACATGTCTGCATATGAATATAATTCTGCAGTATACAAGCAGGTCAAAATTAAGACTATTCTCTGCAAGAAATGAAATATCAAATGCTCAATGGATGAGAAATGTTACTTAAAAGTCAATCAATTCTAACAATTTGTACAAAGTTTCAATTACATACCTTCAACTGAACAACATGGGGTTTGCAAAAACACCGTTCCTGGTCTTGAATTGATAACACTACATTTTTCACTTTGCTTTTAAGGATAGGTATAGTTTCACACAACTGCTTATCATTCAGCTGAATCACAGGCCAGGAAGAGATGTGTGCGTTCACCTGTACCTGTGATATTCTTATACAAAATAAACCCAATTAAATCACGTATGTCTTCAATGTTTTACCACTTTATTTTGAATGTTTAATGGTAGACGCTATTCAGAAAATGTCACGATTTATATCACACTATATGATGACTTACAATTCCTTTGTATTTTCAGTACACATATTCTATAAAAAATGTCGCGATCAAGATTTGCAAACCTTTTTTGTTTGCAGACAAATAAGAAAGTATACCATACGACCTCGTTACACTGTTATCTGATTATTGCATTGTATTCAAATAGTTGTGCCACAAACTATTTTATTGATGCTTCATCAACTACAACCTTTATATTAAACTGAGGTCAAATTTAGTTTCATGTGTTTTCTGTGGGAGGTTATTTAGTATGTATGTAACTCATTAATAGCTAGGGGCGGTGGGGTAGCCTAGTGGTTAAAGCGTTGGCTCGTCACGCCGAAGACCCGGGTTCGAATCCCCACATGGGTACAATGTGTGAAGCCCATTTCTGGTGTCCCCCGCCGCGATGTTGCTGGAATATTGCTAAAAGCGGCGTAAAACCAAACTCAGTCAGTAAGTCAGTCATTAATAGCTAAAGATATGCATGACGTAACAAGTCAGCCAAGTCATGGTTGGGTGTATTGTTCTCATGCACTGATACATTCAGTCATCTCAGCCTTCATTAAAGCAAAACAATGGATAGTATAAAAACGTAGTAGCCATTTCCAAATAGGGAAGTGCTGACACAGAAAGGAATGTGTATTCACGTGACAAGCTCACTGTGTGGTCATTGTTGAGATGTTATTATAGATCATGAGCCACAACTAACTAGTGTGGGGGCTGCGACTTGACACTATTGAAAAGAGATGCCGTGTGTCAACAACCTGTTTGTGAGCTTTTTAGGTAGATAGCAGAATTCGAAGAACAGGATTTTGCCAAAATATGAAATTATCTAAGCTGTAATCGTTTTGTGTTTTCTTCACACGAAAAATTCGAGTTCAACAACACCACCTGGATGTATTGTAGGAATAGTTTCATTTGTAAATACTTTAGGTTTTTCTGTTTATTTGGTCAAAGCTTCTTTAACTTGCTTTGTTGTTACCTCTCGGTAGTTATGTAAAGTATGAACACTCATAAACACGCAATGTATGCATGACATCAAGGTTAGACGTGATGACAGATGCTAATACACTAATGCTATATTAACCTAGACTCTTCATTCAGCCAAAACATGGCGTAGCAGACCTTTCCATATAAGGTTATGCTACTACTTGATCACCCTATCCAGAGCGGGGCGGTCTTGTAAAAAGGCAATTACACTGGTGTCAGCAATATATATATTCGGGGGTTCGGGGGCGGTGGGGTAGCCTAGTGGTTAAAGCGTTGGCTCGTCACGCCGAAGACCCGGGTTCGAATCCCCACATGGGTACAATGTATGAAGCCCATTTCTGGTGTCCCCCGCCGTGATGTTGCTGGAATATTGCTAAAAGCGGCGTAAAACCAAACTCAGTCAGTCAGTAACAGCCTGTTCAAGATCATATTGTTTTGAACAATAGGATTGCTGAAACATATTTACAATGTGTATGACACCATAGAAACATGAATTAAAACAACGAAACAAAAATTGTAACAGACCTTTTATTAACAACATAAGGTGTCAGTCTTCACAAGTGTAGGGTTCAAGGGATTTTCACAAGAAAAAAAAGCAATCTTGATGGTTCAATGATTTTAAAGCTTGTATTGTGTTTTAGTCTTAACATGAAACATGAAACAACTCAGATACAGCAGGTATAGAACAGAGAAGACTATCGTTTAGCGGCATTTATGCCACAGAAACATGTTTGTGTCCTGGGGGTCCCAACTTGGCTGCTCTCCTGATGTATAGGACCAAGTGTTTCTTTGATAGGGAGCTGTTGGTGTCATTTCGAGAAAACTGTTTTGTCTTCTTGGCAGGTTGTGTTTTTAATATGTGGATAAGTCCACATCTCTTCCTTCCTTTATGTCGGCTTGGTGACTGATTCTTCTGTGTCATTATTATGGGATGATAAAATCTCGACTGAAGGGTTGTAACGCAAGACAAGGATTTTATTCTTGCTGACCCTCATCATCATCATCATCATCATCATCGTCATCGGCAGCCATGACAGATTCACTGTCACTTTCTACTTCGGGCATATCTATACGAGTCAGAATGTCTTTCATGATCGTTTTCATGAAACGGGTTATCTTGTTTTTGATGATAGATTGATCAGTGCCAGGGTCCATATCACTCAGGCTGTCTAGGTTGGGTTGAAATAGAGGTGCCTGTTTAAAGTATTGAGTGAACTCTATGACATTGTTAAGGCTATTGGCCAATTCATTTCCCAATATCTGTTTCATTTTTCTGTCAATCCAATCTTCTGTTCGACCCTGTTGTCTGTACTTTTTCCTTTGAGTTTCATCACGTCATGGTTGATGTTGTACACACGATTCCAGATGCGTTGTAAACCCACATTTTGCCACTCCTCCATGTCAGTGCTTGAAGGCTTCCCACGACATTGTTTTCCAGCAGAACCTCCTCCTTTCTGTACAGGAAGTTGTTCCTCGCCTTCACTGTTGTCGTCACTATCATATCTGAGACGTTTCCTCTTGGATTTCAAACTGGTGTTTGCTGGACACCATGTTTTGATATGTCGCTGTAGATCATGCATATTGTCTATCAATACGCCGCAGTCGGTACACGCAGTGGCCATGGTGAAAGGTCCTGTGTCGTCACTCGAGATGGATGCTGTTTCAACGTCGTTGTCAAAGCTAAGAGATCTTTCTTTGGATGTGTGATCAGCACAAATGTCGGAAGCTGTCTGAACGTCTAATACTGGAGAGACCTCTTTTACCTGTTCTTGTTGCAAACCACTCTGTTGATCAGATGTATTGAGGTTGGTTTTCAAGAGATTGACATGGAGTCTATTCTTTTCACTTGTACTAGGTTTGAGATCCACTGTTAGGTGTCCATAAGGTGTTTCAACAGCCGTTTCATAAAGAGTCATAAATCTGCTAATGTCGTCAGGAAATATCCTTCTGGCAAATAACTTCACCTGCTGTCTGTCCACTGGTGAATTGAAAAGTGTTACATAATGTGAATTTAGAGCAATGTCACGAGATTCCTTACCTCTTGGGAAGAGGTTTTGCAATAGCAAAAAGATAATAACATTTTTGTGGTGGGAGGTTTGAGTAAACAGACGGAAATCCGCTTATCGTTCTTTGCTTCAGACAGAAAATCATCCAACACCATCATGTTCTGGTTGTGGGCATCAAAGTAGTTTTCATCTTCGATATTGTAAGGTATTCCTTTCACAAAACGTACTTGGGGTAAAGTTTGAAGAATGCTATCATAAAGAGGTTGCCACACGGTATAACACCAGACTATACAGTCAGGTAGAGGTTGAATGAATCCACGTCTTAATAGGTTGAAGACAAACACCGACTTTCCACATCCACTGGGTCCGACGATGATGCCATTGGAGGGAATCAGAAATTTGAATCGTTCGTGCTGCTTGTGCTCCTCCTGAGGAGGAGGAGGAGGAGGAGGAGGAAGTTGTTTATCCTGAGGCGGAGAAAGATGTTTATCCTGAGGAGGAGGAGAAGGAAGTTGTTTATCCTGAGGAAGAGGAGGATGTAACTCTTGAATTGATCCATGCATATGCATCTGCTTCTGATGTCTTTGTAAATTATCTTTTCGCGTAAATCTCTTGTCACAGTCTGGACAGGTGGTAGTAAGCTCCATAGTGATGTAACACAGGTGTGTGATTAGAGGGTCTGAAGCATTCTTTTATACCTTTGAGCCATGTTACGTTTCAAGGCAGCTTTAGTCCGTTTCATAATGATATTGGACACAGGTTGTATTTTCAGTGCAGTCTTCTTTTTGCCCTTCACAGTTGCCCTTCTTTTTTCCTTGTTAGATGTAACCTGTCTATTCAGCGATCCCATTATTTTTCTCTGACGTGTTTTTGTTGACTTGCTCTTGCCAAACTTTGTGAACATGGGTGTAGGGCCAAATATATCCCCAGAAGCTCTCCTCATGTTGAAAAAGGACGTCTTATCCGTCAGCAGGCAAGAGTGAAATGTCAGTCATTACATACTTCAGTTTAGTATTATTCTACTTTCTTACTATGCAGGATATTTTTGCAAATGATATTTGCATTTGTATATTTTTCTTATACCCAACAAAACATTATTTGATCTAAACTACTTTTTATATATTTTTTTTTCCACATACATCAATAGCATCATTGACAACTGAAACAAGAAGGTGTACAGTATTTGAAGTAGTGACAAATATATTGAGATACAAAAGTGTCATTCCATATAAAGTTCCTTACATCAAATTGATGAAGAAAGTGATGAAAACTCCAGTTGGTTTTACATTTACATAAGAGATAATACAAACAATAGAAGCCACATACATTTGAATCTACAGATTGTAACCGTTCACCATTGTGCAAGTAAGATTTAACATAAGACTTTAGATAACTATCAAATACAGCATCAACTGGTTCTGCTAAACTATCAAACAGTTCTGCTCTATTTCCTTTGAAATACATAGCCACCCAGTGGCGACCACTCTTTTGTCTGCTGTCTGTATTCACAATGACACCCACTCCTTTCTTCAACAGTGAAGGTGTGAGTGTGGGTAAAGTATCTTTAGCATACACTCCCAAGACATGTCTCTCTAAGACTGAATCACACTGTATGGCACATTGCAATTCTGAGGCTTTCATGTTGATGATTACTTGATATACACATTCCTTGCCTTATCAATTTCTATGATAGAGTTTCTTTCACTCATGATGACACAACTCAAAGTTTTGGTGAGAGCAGATTTGAATTCAATTTCAAGTCTCACATTTCCCGATTTCACCAGATTGAGATATTCAGTTCCTACTTCATCCTTTAAATCTATGTTTGACTGGTTTGTGTAAACTATAAGCATCTTGGTTGTTCACAAATCGTTTCACCTTCCTCAGCTTGATACTATGGTGACTCTTTTTCTTCAATTCATCACGCAGTTTGGAGGGTCCATAATAAGCGCCCGGATTGTGATGGCCATAATAATACTTTTCTAATGCTTTTTGCTGTTTCAACTCACTGCTTTTCTTTTGGGAACTCATGTTGTACTGAGGAGAATGTGACTTACTAAACAATATATATAACATAAAACACATATGGTTTGATTATTTATTCATTCCACCACTATCCCCTATTACAATTCACAAAAGTGTGTTACAGTACATAATGATCATCACCATGTTACAGAGCATGATTAAAACACCTCTGAATTTACACTGATAGGATATGTCCTTCAAAATCTTGAGATAACATGTCTTCCATCATCCCCTCTGGATCATAGTCACACAAACAGTCAATAAGTTCATTACAACACACGTGACACTGGACTTGTCCACTATTGCAACTCACGTGACGCAGCATATTATTGTGACGACAAATGCTACAATTTCGAAGAAGAGGAGTAAGTTTCTCTTCTTCATATGGATCTTCCACTGTTAAATCACCTGCGACATTCATCTCCATGTGTTGTTTCTCTTGCTGTTCAATGTCTTCCATGAGTTGTGTGTAATCCAACCACAAGTCATTTAAGGTGGACTCTGTTGGAAGCCAGTCATTGAAGTTAGGTTCTGTAGGAGGTGTTATAGGTTCTATCAGGAGTGATGGAGATGGCTGCTTTGCAGTAGGTGAAATAGCGCTGACATCGCTCCTATCAATAAAGAAAACAAATATAAGATATAAATTGAGAAACAAAATTATTTCATTGTAAACAATTAGGTAGAACAAATATAATTAATTATCGTAATGATTACACTTACCTTGATGTGATTGCTGGACTGGCTACCTCCTTTTTTGGTCTTCTGCTTTTGTGGTCTTTTGCTCTTCTTTGCCACTGGTTGTCTCTCGTTCTCCTTCACTTTTCTAGTTTTCTTATCCTTAGGAAGAAATGCGATGGGAGATTTTGCTTTCCGTTCTCTGAATTCTCGTTGGCAGATGTGGCAGCAATTTTCATGTAATCCAACAGCAAACTCAAGAGAGCGGGCGATACTGATGGCAGTTTCTCTTCTAAGGTCTTCATTCGCTCTGCCATCTCGGTGTACGTGGTTTTGTACAACTCACTTGTTCGCATCATAGTTTCATGCAAATGTACCTGAGTATTCACAATATCCTTCACTTCTTGAAACACACTAGTAAGTAACTGGTCTGTTGAGAAGCCTATACGTCTCATGTCCAACACCTTCTGCGCCATATTGATTGCGAGCAGAAATGCTTTTCCAAAACTCTTCTGGTCTATGATAGCAATGATAACTGATTTGAAATGTCTTATAGTGTAGTGCTTGTGCTGTCTGATTGGATGTAGAGTAGTAGAGTACACATGCTGTCTGATTGGTTGGTTAACAAGACACGATAAATGGAATGGCAAACAACACAAATATTTAAAAGATGTAGGTGGCCAACATTCCACCCATTTCAAATTTAATAGCAATGATTTCAATATATCAAATTTGCTTGGTTCCTATTCATAACATTTCAATACACATTCCCATCTCCGTGAGTCATGATGTTAAATAAAGACGTCACTTAACTCTTTACCGGCTGGTATAGAACCATAGTGTAGGCTATCATTGTATACAATAGGGTTAAGGGTTCAAAGGACAGCTCCTGGAATTTATGGAATGTGCTCCTGAAAACTCCTTTGGTATGTAGGAGTACTCCTTAAAAAATGCTATTGTTCTCCCTGGAATGCTATTGTTCTCCTTAGGAATGCTATTGTTCTCCTTAGGAATGCTTTGATGTCCGAAACTGATTACTTATATACTACTAGTAGTGACAAATCAAAATAGAATTTACTGTTGTCCAGGGAACGAACGGCCCGATCGAACTCACAGTTCAGGGAGGGACATGGAAAAAACTGGTAGCCTCACATAGAAAAATTCAGAATTAAAATGTTCCCATATTTTCACATTACAATACCGGGGAAAATCCGGGTTAGAATTAGTCTCCAGCAACCCATACTTGTCGTAAGAGGCGGTAATAGAATCGGGTGACTTGGTTGACACATGCCATCGTATCCCAAATTTGGTAGATCGATGCTCATGCTGTTGATCACTGGATTTTCTGATCCAGACATCTGAAATATTGCTGAGTGCGGCGTTAAACAACAAACAAACAAAACAAACAACATTATGATATTGAGTTCAGATCACGTGGTCAAGCGATTTTAAACAAGGGAATAATATTTGAAGCCAATTTCTTATCACCAGCCGCTCGTCTCACGGGCAGGATGAACATGAACGCCGAACCCTGTGACAACTTCTATGACTTCGCCTGCGGTTCTTGGATGGAAAAGAACATCATCGCTGAAGACAAGTCCAGCAACAACATCTTCACCAACCTCGACGACAGTCTGCTCATCAAACTGCAAAGTAATGCCCTAGCTGTACAATAGAGATTGTTTGTGATGGTTCATTTTAATCAGTGGCAGTCATTCAGAGCTGTGATATTTGACTAAATGTACTCAAAAGAAGCAAGGAAACATGTTGCCATGACAACCACAGTGATGTAAAAAAATCCGCAGTCACTGTTTACCACGGACTGATTAATCCGTTAGCATTTTCTTACAAACTGCAACCAATTTTGAGGTAAGCTTGTTCATGGTTAATACGTATATGATATGGGCAATATCAAGCAACATTCATAGAAAATCACGACTTGTGCAGGTGGTTTTGTGGAATAGGTAATCCAGTTTCAATATGGTATCATTCCAAACCTTCCTAAGATGATCTTTGGGTGAAATGTGCAACATCGCCAGGATGAGGCACAGGGTATGTAGGTCAAACATTTCTTGGTGATAGAAGCTTGACGAAGAAGACATGATAACCAGGAATCACCACTCTGCGAACTGAATTGAAATACACGGCAATAAGATCGGAACATCCAACATACTTGACTAAAATCAAATCGTGCTCGTTTTGTCCGTTAAACCAGACTTCTATTCCGAAGTCATATTGGATCTGCTTTTTTTTTTTTTTTTTTTTCTTCTTTTCTTTTTATTTTTCTTTGTATTTAGTAAAATATTACAGAAAACGCATTTCACGAGTATTTACAGTATACATTTTCCGGATTCAAACATTTTTTAAAATTTATGGTGGAAGCCTGTATTCTGCTGTTTTCTTTCCTGCTTTTGTCTACAATTTGCATTGTCTTCCAGATCTGCTCGAAGCACCCTTTGCCGAAGGAGAAGCCACTTCTGTTAAAGAAGCTAAGACGATGTACAAGTCCTGCATGGACCTAGGTGCGTATACTTCTACTCAACGCCTGTATCGTTCTGTGATCAGATAACCAGCACAGTGATGTAATCCGCTGCTTGGTGATGCTTCATGTCTCAGAGTGACTTCATGACGCTCTGTTTTGACAAGGTATTAGCTTTTAAGATTATTGCTTTTCAACTTCTTCACCTTTGTTAAAGGTCACATGCAACCAAGAAAACAAACATAATTAAAAAACAATTATCACCTATTCATGACATATAATAATGTTGAGTTTCATCTCGTTAAGGCAATTTTAACGACTTCACATTTAGACGTCACATTTAGACTTCACATTGTGCCCAAACCATCTTTATTATGACATGTATAACTCTCAATTGGTTATCCTCACGATCGTGTCTGCCACCACATCATTTAGTCCAAGGCAATGCTATTGTTTCCTTATCTGTCCATCGTTGTCTCTTCGTCTGTCTATTGGGGCGGTGGGGTAGCCTAGTGGTTGAAGCGTTGGCTCGTCACGCCGAAGACCCGGGTTCGAATCCCCACATGGGTACAATGAGTGAAGCCCATTTCTGGTGTCCCCGCCCTGATGTTGCTGGAATATTGCTAAAAGCGGCGTAAAACTCAACTCACTCACTCACTTCGTCTGCGTCAATGTATATTCTGAGCTAGTTCCAATGTTGATATATACACGTTGACAATACCATAAAACCGGAAGGGCACATAACTTCTGTTTAAAATAAGATATAGATACAGTTCTATCTGCTTTAAAGGCCGGGGTGCAAACCTCCAAATTCCCCATGGGTTCCCAAATAGTCACCCATTGGCTACTCCTCAGCAGTGTAGATGTTATCTGCCCATGAGTGACAGGACTGTAACGGCTTTGGGTGCCTGGCAAGTGCCAGTGGGAGTCTGGGGATGTCAAAGGTTAAGCTTGGAATTTACTACTAGAACAAACATGTGCCTGATAGTAAATGTCCAACAACCCTTCCCTTCATTTCATGAAGACAAAAATGACAGACTCATTTGATAAGCTTTAGGATAATTTACTTATTTATAAATTCAACGTTTTCTCAAAAGCTATTTCTATTACAAACAAATAATATTTACAACAAAATTCAATCATATTACTTCATTTATACTCTATGTGAACAATTTATGTCCTCATACTAATTTAATATTTACAATTTGTTTTGCTGTAATATAATTCTCTAAATTAAATACATAATATTTATAACATATTTTAATTATGGTATATTATATAATTACCTTCCTAAGAGAATAATACATTCCACTTGAAAACAGCATCTCGAATAGGAAACAGCACAGAATATAGCAACGATAACATAGACATAACGTTAATATAATATCAGTTCCAGGTATGTCCCATATATGGCTTATTTGCAGGATTGGGGAGCCATGTCCGAACTAACGTTATGACACAATCTGGCATCAAGTCACGCTGGTGTCTGGTTCCAGTCCACACCAAGTGATGTCTGTTGAAATGTCTCTTTCTTTCTTGATATCGAGCATCTCTCCATACACCTCGGTGGAGAAGCATGGTCCAAAATCGCTTATAGTGTCCCTTTCTAAGTTCAGAATTTCTCGTGGTTTCCTGAAGGATATCTTCCTCCCACCACATTTGCCTGTTCACTGGGTCTGTTATGCATGGTTTGCACAAACAGTGAGGACACTCATCTGCATCAGGTCTCTGTTGAATGACAAACTCGGGGTCACCATCAGGTTCATTCATACCTGGAAGTGTTGTCACTGTTGCCTCGGAAAGGGGAACTTCTATTATATCCCAGTTATGATGATGAAACAGATTATATATAGTTTCTCTCTGGAGAGGAGTAACCATCAATGTGAGAGAGAGTCTGTCTTGTTCAACTTCCATGATCGCTGTTTCTCGAGGTTATACTATTTTTCACAGCTTTCTCAAGACTTTATCTATGAAGTAACACCGTAGAGATAATTAATAGTGACAGTAAAGATAAACAAGTTAGCAAATTAGAGGGCCAGCAGGGATAATGAATTATCTGATGGCAAGATATAGCTTTAGGTCAAAATAATCTCCCGAGATATCTGTTCCATACATTTCGCCTGTAATTGTAGGAGACAGGTTTGTAGTTCCTCTTCCTGCGACATCTCTGTGCACCAGGATTCCTTGAATGCCACTCAGAAGTATAGCTTCTATTCACATTTTCATTCCAGTGGCAAACAGCTAATTGAGATTTCATATTGTAAATCCTGCCAGAAAATGAGATTCGTTTGTCTTGAAAAATATTCATAACATTATTGAAACTTTCAACATAGAAAGTATCTTTAGCCAAACTGAAGTCGTCTGCATACTTGAAAATGGTGGAATTTGTGATAACACCTTTCAACAATGACACAGCTTTCTCACTTGTGAGCACTATACGTGATGGTTCATAGTTTGGATCTTCCTTGCACCTTGAGGATGGGCTGCAATCAGAATGATTGTTCTTATAATGTTCAATAACATTTATGAGTGAGGATCTCAGATTCTCGCTGTCACCGTTACAACTCCGAATGGCGTGATGGAAGTGTGTAGCAACAGGTCGCACTTTCTCTGACAGCTGTTCATGCCAGGTACTGCCATGCTTGTACTTTGGTCCCGTGGATACAACAGAAAGGGATTTGGCTACTGATTTTACGCCATGCCATATGTCATTTTGGTTGATTGTTCCACTGTCTCGAATGAGTTTATTTACAGACAGGTTTCTGTCGTGGGTGTGTACATTAACATGGACATTTCTCTCTTGAGGTACTTGTATATCTCCACTGTTCCAATCCTTTCGTGCCGCTGTGAAACAGGATCATTCTGTTTGGTAATATGTTGGCATGTTAACACCTTATGTGTGTAGTCACCAATGGCCACCACACTACTATCCTTGGCATTTTTCCTCCAACCATGACGAGCGTCTGTCATGATGTTGATGCCGTCCAAATCTTCATAACCAGCAACTTCTTCTAACAATGAAGTTTCACACGAGTCAGTATATTCTGCCTGAACACAAGCCTTATAGGTGGTAAGTTGTTGTTCTCTATATTTCCGTGACAGATTACCAATCCCTGCAGCTGAACAGAACCTTTGGTACTGGACTGGTAACATACCACAGCTGTAAAAAGCATGTCCAACCTTCTCATTCACAAGAAATTTGTTGTCTGGTAGGTAGGGTGATGACGCCAGACGATACTGGTGTGACTTGCGGCAGCGAACCTTCATCTTCATTACATGGCCACCATAACTGACTTGTGTAACAGTCAATTTATTGGAACATTTTCGTCCATGCTTCTCTGCTACATCCAGACACATTTTCATGGATGATTCAGATATGATGAAAAATTTGTCATCAGAGTCACCTGGTCTGGCTGTCAGGTATGTAACTGGTGGATCTTCTGGGGCAGTCACACCATGGTGCTGGAGATAGTATGACAGCACCCGGTCCAGAACCTCAGCATTATTAGCAGGCTTGTTTGTCTCTGCTTTTAGGTGTACTTTCACTTGTTTCAGTTTTTGGAGAATACCTTGCTTGACTTCTTGGTCACCAGGTATTTCGATTGTAAAACGAGCACTTCGCTTACTTGGATCCATCTTGTGAGGAAATCAGTATGGTCAGCCAGATAATGAGATGTGTCAAGTGTATTCCGATAGTAGGAGTCAATGAAGTATGATCTGACCCACAAGTTAAATTACTAAAACTAAGCAAAGTTCATTTCAGGCTTTAGGGGTTTGGGTTTTGAAAAGTACAGAATGTTATGTTATTACTGCATTTTAGAGAATCATATGTTATTATAAAGAATTTAGTACATCAAAGGTTTACTATAGAAGATAATTAAATTTGCCTACTTGATGTGTTGATAATAATAACAAGGATACCAATCCAATGTCACCCCTCTGGGGGGAATCAAGTGTTCCACTCAGTGTCAGAGTCAAATCAGTGTACAATCCGCACAGCTGGGGGTCAGGGGAGTGGAGGAGGGCATCAGTTTCACTGACTGCCTGGGAAGAAAGTGAAATATGAAACCCTGAATGAAGCTTTAACTTCCACTCAGAGGTCTGTTTCTATGGAAACGCACCTCCTCTGGCCTACTGACTGACACAGTGGCAAATTCAAATCTGGATTTCAAAAAGAGATTATATATTTTTAAAATGCAGGTTTTGTACACTGTCTGCATCAACACTTTTTGCAGTGTGTGTTCATAACATACTTGTTTACACTATGGCTTAATTTCATCAAGAACCGGTAAGTCAATTTTGTGATATTTCATGGAATGTACTTGAATACTGCATTGTTCTGCATTGAAAGACAGCTTTGGGCAAGGCAGGAGGCCACACCCCATCTGTGTATAGGTTTGAACCCCGGCCTTGTACAGCAATGTTTAGCTGTCACAAATGTTGACAGTCGTAATAGTAACTGTTGGCTAATTTGGGGATGGTTAGATCGGAAATTTGTTATGCCTGCAAGGGGATTATCGGTTCCTTACTGTCAGCTGATGTTACATGAGACCATTCAGAAAAGGTATGAGACGTTGTTTTGTCACCGGAAGTACTAAGATCTCGCGAAGTGCCGTGGCCTACTTGTTTCTGAAATCCTGGGTTTATATAGTATGGAAATTAATTACAACACCTCATTCATAGTCCAATAATTCTGTGTGAATAAAGAAAACAGAGGCTTTTTTCTGAATGATTAACTGACAATTTGCATCTTATTGTATAGCATGATCTTTGAGCGGATATATTCAATGCATGTGCAGTGCAACAGTCTCTCCTTTCAATTTGATTGAATATTTAGTTCCATAGTCATCATGGCACGTTGTTAATTGTCAGAGGTTACAAGGTGGCACATAATTGACATGGAAAATTAAGGAATATCCCTTAGACAAATTGGACAACAAGTTGGCTGCACGCATTCCAATGCATCATTTCAAGACAAGGCCAGAATACCAAAATGGTGCTTGAGGGTCCAGATCTCAATCCTGAAACAGACAGATATTTTGACCTACATTTAATGCAGGTAATATCACTATTTTTCTCCTCCCGGTGAT